TAATAATCAATAATAATAATAATAATAATAATAATAATAATAATAATAATAATAATAATAATAATAATAATAATAATAATAATAACAATAATAATAATAATAACAAAAATAATCAATAATAATAACAATAATAATAAGTCTTCATCATATCGATTATAATTACTGCCATGAAATTTTTTCTTCGATATCTTTTAACAAGGTTATCAAATTAAGTATTGATTGATTAATGTTATCTGAATAATTGTTTATTATATACATGTCAACTAACATTACCTGATGACATACTGAATGACTACAAATATATTTCTTCATACCGGTATCTAACCATGATCGTTGAAGGACAAAATCTCGAACCTGTAACGGTGACATACCTCCTACTGAAATTAAATTTGCTATTAAAAATAAAATCTGGAAGAAATAAAATTGCACATATTTTGCTACATGGTTATCCAATTAACTTAGAAAATACTAAAATTTTAGTGTGATATCTTTTAAAATCTTTTGAAGCTATACTATTTTATTCCTATTTTATGTCGTCATATGCGTCCTCAAATGTGACTCTAATGCCCGCAAATTTTTTTTTTTTATTATTTTACTGAAATGAATAAAACAAAAAATAGAACTGAAAAAAACTGAACTCCTTTTTTAACTTTTTATTAATCTCCATTCCATGCTCTTTACTTTCAAATATTATTTCTCAAGGAGTTTGAGAAATCCAAATTTTTTCTCTAATTTAAGGCGCAGGAAGCACTCGTCAAATCAGACTAAATTTAAATCAATTATTTAAATTAACTCAATTTAAATTAATTATTACCAGCATAATAACAAATATCATTGTTTGGATTAATTAAGCCAATATCGATAGTTGCAACATGATATTTATCCCATTTTGGTCTGTATTGTGAATCATGTAAAACATCATAAATTGTTGATGCTTTTACATCAGCTAATATTGCATTAGCCTGAAACCATTTTAGGTTATTTTCATTTCTTTTCTTTTCCTTATTCCTTTGAAAATCCATTGTTACAATTTATTAAAAAAATGAAAGAAAAGAAAAGGAAAGAAAACAATGTTATCAATAATATTTAAAAAATGCGAAATCAAATTAGGTTTTATAAAATTTCTAAAAATTTGATTGCATTTGAGAACAAAACTTGTAATTTTCAAATTACAAATTTTATCTTTTCAACTTTTTCAATTAAAATACAATTTCTTAATAAATGTTTTTTTTCTCTCTCTCTCTCTTTTCATTGCTTATGATTAATTGAAGTGAAAAATATTCGACGTTTTTTTTTTTCTTTCAAAATTAATTCATATAGAAATAGACAAAAGATTATTAATAAAAAATAGTAATAAATACCTTAATCATATCAAAATTAGATTTTGGTACTGATTTAGTCCATACTTTAATACTATCCGAATTATATGCTATATTCCAACCGGAATGATTTTCACATAATTCGTTGATGCATTTAAAATCACTATCATCCAATACTTTTACATGATTATAGCGTATCCCACATTTATAATAATAATTCTCTTCATTATCATCATTATCTATAATAATTATCACAAATTTTTTTTTTGCTATAGAATAAGTTGACAAGTTGACAAATTATTTACTAAAAGAAATATGCTTATCGTATATTGATCGTATTCCTATGT